TCTTTTTTTTTTTTTTTTTTTCAATAACATCTTCGAAATAGTAATACTTCGCGCGGAGCCGACAGACACGAAAATCACCGTAGCTGACAGCACCTATTAGTCGAGGGTGACATTCTTGTCACGCCCATGCGAGAAGTCGTAATTCGTATACGTAACACGTGTAACACGGGGCGTGACTCAGATTAATTTAACACAGAGCGGCAATTATACGCTCGTTAAATGCGTCTACATATTTTTTTCCTTCCTTCCTTTTATTAAATTAATTATGATTTATTAACCACGTGTTGCAATGATCGTTTATACCGCGATATATGATAGAACTACGCGAGTGTTGAATACAATGGTTATAGACTCGTTGATTCCACTCATTTCGTTTATGAATGGAACAGATTTCATGAATGCAAAAGTTTACTACGTCGATCGCGCGATAAACAAATGATCGTGGTGAACGAAAATACACGGTTTTTTTTGTATCAGTTACCGGTAGTCGCGTGCTGGTAAGTGAGGTCTCAAATCGCTTATCGTGTAAACATTTACAAGTAGGGTAAACAAAATGTTCTTTAATCTAAGTACATCGAATGTACCTTAAACACTAGTCGGTTCGTTTATTAAACCTTTCCACGCAGAATCGACTTTAGTCTTCCGTGGATTTAATGTAGACAAACTATCGTCCATGATGAATTCACGATTTCCTTAAACAGTAATCTTCTGTAACTCTTTTACATCCGATTCTGATATTATCCAATTGTTTATCTGAAAATTATGAAAAGTTAAGTTGAACATACAATTTATTTTTAAGAAATTCTAATCCTCTTCTTTATGAGATAAAAATCAAAGATATTTGTTTCGGATCAAGAGCTTTTTTCTTGCATATGGTATGTTAAATAATTTCTTATTTAACAATGTTGGACGAGATAAGAATTTAAATTTTTCTTCCAACTTATGTAGACAAACTATCATCCATGATGAATTCTTTAAACAGTAATCTTCTATAACTCTTTTACATCCAATTTTAATATTGTCTAATTGTCTATCTAAAAATTACGAAATATTAAGTTGAATATACACAATTTATTTTTAAGAAAATCTTCCTCTTTAGAGGAGATTATGAGCAAAAATTAAAGATATTTGTTTCGGACCAAGAGTTTTCTTCTTGCACAATAATTTTTTACTTAACAATGTTGGACGAGATAAGAATTTAAATTTTTGTTCCAACTTATGTAGACAAACTATCATCCATGATGAATTCACGATTTCCTTAAACAGTAATCTTCTATAACTCTTTTACATCCAATTTTAATATTATCCAATTGTTCATCTAAAAATTACAAAATGTTAAGTTGAATATACACAATTTATTTTTAAGAAAATCTTCCTCTTTAGAGGAGGTTACGAGCAAAAATTAAAGATATTTGTTTCGGACCAAGAGTTTTCTTCTTGCACAAAAATTTCTTATTTAATAATGTTAGATGAGAACTGGCACGAGATAAAAATTTTTGTTCGTAAACAAACTATTATCCATGATGAATTCATGATCTTCTATAACTCTTTTATATTATTTTTATATTAATTTTAATATCATCTAATTGTTTATCTAAAAATTACACAATTTTAAAAAAATTCTAATCCTCCTCTTTAAAGCTTCAAATGAAAAATAATCAATTGGCTTGCAATTTTTAAAATTCATTTGTACATGCAGCTTCTTTTTACTTTGCAAGAAGAATTTACTTCTTCCAGAAAATCGCTATCGATAAATCATAAGCAATGATTACTAATAAAATTTTGCTAATAATAAGTATAATAAGATAGTGCAAAAGGAGTGATTATTCTCTCTATTCGCGCACTCCCATTTATAAGTACAATCTCTTCCTTCTCTCCATCTCGATACACCATGGTAGCATCGACAAGGGATAAACTTGCCACCCACGCACCCTTCCTCCTCCATCCGCCTCTCCCCCTCCCCCTCCTCCTCCTCCTCCTCCTCCTTCTCTTTTCTCGTTCAGTCAGCAAAGTGTAAACGGGATCAATCTGCAGACGCCTCGGTAGGCCCCCAGTTTTCCTGTTTCTCTTTTTCTCATCTACCCCGCTCGGGATGTATTTCTGGAGCAATCTCTCTACTCCGTGTGACTATGGCATCGTTGTTGGCACGAAAGCACCCGATATTCACCTCGAGGAACCCGGTTTCTCTCCTCCTCTCCTTTTATCGATATTTCGCCGAAATCGAAATTCGTATTCTGGAAAAGTGAAGAATAAGGGAATAAAGAAATTGGAGCGGGCGAAATAATAATCATCTCGAGCAGTGAGAAAAGTTCGAATTTGTCGGAGGTGGAGAAGTCGGGAGAGGATTTTGACTGACGTTCGCTGCCATTCAGACCACACACGACGCTGTTTTAAGACTCTCGTTACACTTGCTCTCGATCTGAAATCAAAACGAATTTTTTAATTTTCAAATACTCGTTCGTACTTCAACTAACAATCATAGGTAATTTAATTTTCTTATTTTACTTTTGTTAAACAAGTTTTATACAATTGTAGAGTATGTATAGAATTATTATTGCTGATATTTTAATTTTCTAAACGCTAATGTAAAATATATAAAGAAATTCAGTCGAAGAGGATGAAGAAGAGAGGGAGATAAAAAAGACAAAGATAGGGATCGAGACACGAGTGAAGTGCGCACTTGAGGAAGAACTACTTGAGAGGAGCTTTAGATTTATCATACCTACACAAAGGCCGATATTCGTATCTTTCTCTTTCTCTTTTTCCTCTTAATTTCCTCTTGTTCCTTCATGCGTGTGGTCCTCTTCCTTCCGTCCGTTTTTTTACTTTAAAATTACCTATAAAATTTTCCTTTAAAAAAATTATCGATAAAATTTATCATATCGTATTTGATAATTGTAAGGAAAATTTCGAAAGTCGATGAGAATTTAACGATTAAAGAAAACCTTCTTTTTCCTCCCCCTTTTCATTTTTTGTTTCAGGTATAAAGATGCAATGCTCGAACTCGAATTCGAACAGTTCGGGAGGCGGGCTGATCGATCGTAAACCATCCTACTTTGGCCATCCAGCCGGATCGGTTACCTTGAGCTCGTTGAGCTCCCTAAGTTCGCTAAATTTGAGCAACATCGGCGGATTGAGCAGTGGATTGAGTATATCGAATATACCTGGCGCAGTTTCGTCCAATATCCATCACACGGCGACTAGCACACCTCCAACGACAATGTATTACGATCCTATTAAATACAGTATGTCGAACGTGTGACGATCTGAAGAAGAGAAAGGAAGAAAAATTGTATTGTTGCAACGTTAATTATTTTGAAACAGTTCGATAAATCGAGATAAATCCTCCCAATAAGATTCTCGATAATAGAGACGTTATACGTGAATTCGAAATCTGTCTCAAGTGAAGAATGTTGAAAAGTTATAGAAGGAATGAAGGAGTCACTGTTTTTTAAACGATTGCTTCGTCAAAGTGTATATTGAGATTTTTATTTATATTTATAGTTATACGAATAAATGTTATTAATTTAAGTTACGTTCATCGCGAATCAATAATTCGATAAAATGTAAAATTATAAAATATTCTTTGGTTGAGAAAGAAGAAAACAAATAGGGGAAAGTTTTTTTTTCTTTTTTTTTTTTTTTTTTGGTTTCAATCATGCTTCGACGTTTCTCTAAGTTATTTTAACTTAAAGGATGATGATACGTTGTGGGTTTTTGAAGAAAATACTTCGAATTAAGACTATATCTATAACTGCCGATGATGCGTATCAAAGCGAGCTAAATATTAACGTGACGTCACACGATGGTTTTGCGGTGACGATAAAGGATTTGTTGATAACGGCAAAGTTCTCTTTCCTAGTCCCTCCACGAATCAATTCCAGGAATTTCGTTTGTCAGACGGCTTGAAACTTGACGGTTATCTCACGTAACAAGATTATACTTTTTATCAATCAATTTATCGTTACGACAAATTAATTGTTTAAGTGAAATCTATTTCAATTTTTTTTCCCTCCGTAGCTTCAATCATTCCTTGTTTAAAATAAATTTGAATTCTTCGTAATTTTAATGATTCTTTACTCAAAAAAAAAAAAAAAAAAAAAAAAGAAAAAAAAAAACTCACAAGAGGAACAAATTTTACGATCTCAGAAACTCTGGTTTTGTTTTTTTTTATTCATTTCTTCGCTGTAAAAAAAAAATAATAATAAAAATAAAAAGACCGAACATTAAAAAATTCCTCCGTTTTACTTTTGAGAGGTCCAAGAGGAACCTTCAGTAGATTCTTCTTCAAAGAAAGGTTATAAAAGGAGATAATACGGTCGTGAACGATAGTAACATGTTTTCACCAGTAGTAATGCACGACAGATTTCTATTGAAACAGCTTGTCGCTGGATCCCTGCCATAAAAATGACGAGAACAAGTTGGAGGCTCCTTTCGGATGCGGCCAGGATAATACAACTTATTTGAGTAATATGGAGCTTCCTCGGACGTTCTTTCTCGTCACGTGTTCAAATAGTTTCCTCTTACCAATATTCTTATAAATCATATGTTATAATTCTCCGCGAAAATCTACACTCGATTATCGATGTCACGTCCAAAAATAATATATGTGATATTCGATCCAGATTTCATTATCGCTGGTAGAGAAGAGGAAGAAAGAAATGCTTGGAAATTTTGT